CTGGTTGTGTGAGGACCACTCTATGCTGGTCAATCGCCACCCCTCCACACCCTTTCAACAGTTTTTAAAAAAAGGATGACAGGGAGGGAAAAATGAAGTAGACAGGAGGAGATGAAAGAAGACAGGTGAGAAGGAAAGGCAGACTTGTGCTGATGCTGAATCCATGTGTGTGGATACTTGGTACTAGGCCAACCAAGTGCAACCCAGTAGATTTGTCAAGAAACACTTCCCCTCCATGTGGACATAGGCGCCAGGGTGATCTATTCAAATCTGCAACCAAAAAATTACCAGAACCACTTTTGAACAACCCGAAAACAACTGGAAAGAGCACCCCTGTGTGAATGAGCCCATCAGGCCTCTGCTGAGGCTTGGTGAGCCTGATTTGAAAGGGGAGCGGGGGTGTCAGAAATAGTTGAGCATGGCATCCCTCAGTGCTGCTTACCCACATCAAAACTGGATTCCCCCTTTTGCCTCTTGTTATTCCCCCCTCCCCCCCGTCCCGAAGTCAAAAGATCTGATGACAAAACTCAATTTCAGCCCCCACTGCAAACAGAACTCTGAGCATCTGTTCCAACTTAGTACCAAGGAAGGTCAGAAGCAAACAGTTTGACAGAATGATCTGAAGTGGCAGACAGGCTTATATTTATAATTTTGACTGGGACTTTTTTTTCCTTTTCATATTGTAAAAGAATGTCTTCGTGCCGCTACCAATAGGAAGTCAGCAAAGGAGGATTTGGCTAGCATCGGAGCATATAAACAATTATACAACACATTTTTCCCTTCCTACTGGTGATTAAGACAGAATGCACTTGATGATTATGACTAATGCCGAGAGATTCCTTCTGATCATAGTCCTGCCCGGTTTTTTCTTCTTCTTAGGAGCCTGAGGGCCTGTTTAAGCTTAGCCGAGGCTCTTTGCTCTGGTTGGAAGGGCACACTTTAAAGCAGGCTTTGACAAAGGGATTAACAGAATTTCATTCAGATTTTTCATGTGGTTTCATTCCCCAACCTGATGCCCGCTGGAGAGACAGGGAAGGTTTTGATGCTCACCCCCCCCTTCCGTCATGAAGCATTTCTTCTTCCTTCCTTTCCCTCTCACAACAGAACTGCCTTGCTCATCTCACAAACATCTGTGCAATCTGCCATGACAAATCTGTTATCTTCCTCTTTGCTATTTCACAGCATACAACAAAAAGGCCACTGCATATTTAACATAGTGTTTCTCAGCCAAAGTAAGCTGAAGACATAAATTAGGACTGGCAACTCTCAAACCCTGAGATTTTTTTGCTGAAATAAGATGAATCTGATGAGGTTTGGTACCAATGATGAATTGTGAAATTACAGTGTCACTCCAGCTTGATCACTAACCGTGAATGCTGACTGAAGAGTGGTGTTAGTTAGGGTTGCATAAATGTAATTCTTTGCTTTACAGTCAGTCTATACCACTGGTTCCCAATCTTGGCTCCCTCATGTTCTTGGATCACAACTCCCAGAAATCCTGGCCAGCAGAGCTAGTTGTAAAGGCTTCTGGGAGTTTTAACCCAAGAACACCTGGGAACCCAAGATTGGAAACCACCGGTCTACATAATAAAGCAGAACAGGATTTTGCCCATTATCTCTGTCATTCCTAGCATTTTTTGTCTGAAAGAGCAGCAATTTTGACAAACATGGTGCCTCGCATAGCGATGTTAATTGGTGCAGCAAAAATCGCTGCTAAGCGATTTCGTCGCTATGCGATTTAAAAAAGCCCATAGGAATGCATTGAAATCCCTTCAATGTGTTCCTATGGGCTTAAAACTGACCTTTAAGTGAAGATCCTCCATACGGTGGCCATTTTCGCTGCCCGGTAAGCAAGGAATCCGTCCCTAAACACAGTGGGCAGCCATTTTTTAATCGGCGGCCATTTTGGAACTGCCGGTCAGCTGTTTTAAAATTGTCGCTTTGCGATGATAGGTAAGCGAAACAGGGAACTGATCATCGCAAAGCGAAAAAAACCCCATTCAGACCATCACAAAGCGATCGCAAAAGCGATCGCAAAATCTTCATCGCTATGCGATTTCGTCGTTAAACGGGGCGCCTGTTAAGCGAGGCACCACTGTAACACAGGTGACATTCTTATACATCAGCAGAATTGGAATTAACACAAGCACTAATTCTATCTATCTATCTATCTATCTATCTATCTATCTATCTATCTATCTATCTATCTATCTATCTATCTATCTATCTATCTATCTATCTATCTATCTATCTATCTATCT